AAAAAGAACAGTGTTTTCAGGTGGAATAATGTGGCTGTTATTCCATCCACCAAGAGGCTGCTGTTCACTTGATAGGTGCATTACAGTACCACCAGGACAACTGCGATGATAGCAATAAGATTATTAACCTAATCATACTAAGAATAATAATTTTCCCTACATGGCTCCTCTTGTTGACAATGAGCTACATCATGATCCCTGCAGTGGTAAGAGGTTAAAAATAGTAAATAGAAAATATGTTAAAAGCTTCTCCTTGTACATGCAATGTCTGCTAGTAAGGTAATAAGCTCTACTAAAAGAGAAAAATTCGTGCTACTGGCAAAAGCCTTTTGTCTTGGAAGCAACTTTCAAATGCCAAATGATAGTAAAGGCTTTTCTGACACTGGGAAGTCTTTTGAAAAACCCATCCAACACATCCTTTCTTGCTATCAGAAAGTATCAAATGAAGCAAGCTGCAGAAATAAAAAAGGAGGAAGTGCTAAATCACTGTTAATTTACTTGTTTGGCAGTATTTTCTTTACACTTTGTTGGTACACTCCAGCAATAAAGCTCTAACGTAATAAAAAGCTTCACAGAACTTAAGGGTCTTTTTACTGTACAGAAAGAGCTGAACACTTCAACACAGTATCTGGAATATCTAACACTATACCTGACCACGAAAGCAAGAGTTATGCCCCCTCGTTATCATACACCTAGCTTTTAATACTGCATCTAATATTGTATCAGTTCTGCATCACCTTCTTTAACAAAATAAACCGAATAGAAACACCGCTGCAGCTTGTCCAACATGAAACACATTCTTCAGAAAGTAGGAGTAGTTCAGATTCCTCAATGTAGCAGCTAACTGCCTGCTACTCTGTAACAAATGTATATGTGGTACTGCAGCATTCATTCACAAACTGCATTGCCTCCGAAACGGAATCAAAACCCAAGGAGCACCAATTCCTACACTTAGGGCCATACAGTGGTCTAGATCTTAAAACATTTAACTTGAGAACCTCAAAACTTCCCAGCACTTTTACTTTTCAGGCTGAACTCTTCCAGAACACATTTGTGCAGTTCAGAGGAAACAGACTTACAGGAATTCTCAGAGAAAATAATAGTGTGAGGTAGAATGGAAAGTGAGGCAACAAGGAGTAGAAACTCAGGGTAAAATTGAATTTATACAGAGAGTTTTAAAGATTCTGATGCTAACTGATCAGAGAAAAAAAAAAAAAAAAAGATAAAAATAAATCCATATGCTGAAGTAGCTGAAAAAAACCCTAGCGCACTAAGGAATGAGCAAAATTCCTTTAGACATTCCACTGAAAATGAATTGACTTGGCTAAGTTAGTTGCATCCAAAAGTAATCATAAGACACTGTGTACTGGGCAAATTTTGAGCATACAGACCTAACTCTGTCATTACAAACTGAGTCTACATTGCCATAGTATTTAGTTTGATTATAAATGAGACATTGCCTATCAAGGAACTCCTAAAGTCCTTTCCCCATTCACTTGTATCTCAAATTTAAAAGGATGCACTTTTTCTTGTATTTGACAGAGTGTGAGTGAAACGTTCTGTTGACATCTGTGACTAAACAGCTCCCAAGCACAGACTTGTGGAAACTTCACTTACAGTATGTGCTAATACCAGAGTCTCAAAGGGCCCATCCACCTGGCTGAACCCTGAGGCTCCTTCGTCCTGCTCTGAGCAGGAACTTAGGGCAGATGACCTCCAAGATACCCTTCCAAACTAAATTATGTTGTAAACAACTCAGATGACTGAAAGCTTAACATTAACTCTGCCCTTTTAAGCAGATGCCACCAAAACATGGAATTATTGCACCTAATGGTATCAATTATTTTTCTTCAACCACGGAAGCTTCAGAAACTAGCAACTGCCTCGAAACTACATCAAATAGATGTAACAGCCTGATACATCTTTACCAAACTCTGCACAAAGAACTTCTTCACCATAGCATGCGTTTTGGCAATGCAGTCTTCCTTTATGAAATTAACTCTAAAGTCAATGGCCAGAAATATAAAATCAGGGTCCCAGTGAGCAGCAGCTGCATGTTATCACATCTTCAGGTGCATTTCAGGCTACATAACAATTTATAAGAAATTAATTAAGGCCTAGGGATGCTGAGAAGAAGGCTTCCTATCTACGCTACATCAGAGTCCACAGGACTTGCCAGACTAAGTTATATTTGCTCAGTTACAGTGCAACACTGGGAAGTTACTCTGTGTATTCACATCTTACTACTTAATTCTCAAACAATTATAACATAATCCAAAATATCACAGAGAGGTTCAGTAAGATGCTGCATCATTTATGTGTATTGGAGATCATCCATACACCAGCAGCAACCTGTAACATAACTTTGGATTGAATCATGGCCTGATAACCACAACGGGGCAGAGTTAAGGGTCAATACGGTATTAGCCATCTTCTCTCTAGCTGCTTATGGTGCACTTCACATTCTTCTGCCATCACTAATACTCCAAAATGGAATATACACACATTTCCTCTAAGAAATGTACTGCTAAAACCAGTAGGAACTGCAGAATAAAGATGTATTTTACACTGAGTACTCATTAAAGCAACATGTTGCTAAAATAAAAATAATCACTATTTATAGAATTTGCACACTGAAAGCAATGGATTATGAGGCATTTTTTGAACCTGCAGGACTGCAGGCTAGAACAGTATTCCTGCAATTCTTCCTGAATTATCTAATATATTATTATTATTACTGTCAAATAACAGCTTCTGATCCAGTGCAACGTAGCTGTGAAAGAAACTGAAATAAATAAACCCCATTAAAAAGTAGCACTTGTGTGGGACATGCAGCATGTGAGTGTTTCACACATCAGGGGAAATAAAAAACTCCCACGAATTGAACTAAAAAATTAACCCGAAAGAACTGCAAATTAGGCCGTGCAGAAAGAAAAACCCCAAACCAAAACAAACAACACCCGCACAGCTCGGTTCGCACAATGAAGGCAATTGTTCCGCGGCCCAGAAGCAGCCGTGACTTCCCCCGGCGCGGCCGGCCGGGAGGTCACGGCCGAGGGGAGCCCTCGCCGCAGCCCGCAGGCAGGGCCCCGCCGCCGCGCACGGGAGCGGCACGCCTGAGCGAGCTAAAATGGAGCCCAGGTTTGATGTCGGCCCGAGAGGCCGGCGGAGGGCAGCCGCACCGGGGCGGGGGCGAGGGCAAGGTCAGCCGCCGAGCCCCGCCGCAACGCCCGCTCCGCCGCCACCGCCTCCCGCCCCGGGAGCCCTTTCCGCCTCCCGCTCCCGCGGAGCTTCTGGTAAGCCGAGCGGCGGCGTTTGACGCCCCCCCGCCCCGAAACGCCCCTCCACAGCCACGCAAGGCCTGCGCGCCCGGGCTTGGCCCCTGCCCCCTCCCGCCGCGCTGTGGCCGGGGCGCTGCAGTGGCGGGCGCCGCGGTCCCGCCGCACCCCCCGCCCCGGCCGGCACCGGGGCCGCCAGCTCGGCTGCTCTAGCGGGCGGACAGCCAAAGTGCTGCACGGGGGCAAACAGCGAGAAGAGGGGAAGAGGGATCAAAACCCCTCCATTCCCCCCCAGGCAAATCCCATCACAACTCAAGCCTTTGACTCCGGCTAAAAGGAAAAGCAGAGAGAAATGTCTGCGGGGCTGCAAGTGCCGCCCCCCGGCACCGGCACCCTGCACCGGCGCACACATACACACCCCGGCCCGAGTGCCGGTGGGATCGCTGCCCCAGCCCCCTCGCCCGCATAGCGGAGGGGAGACGGGCGGAGCTCCGCCTGCAGCGGCGGCCCCCGGCGAGGGGCCACCCCGGTGAACTCCCGGTGACCGAGCCCGGCTCCAGCACCGGCGGCTCAGCTACCGCCCTGCCCCTAGCCCGGGTGGAGGGGCTAAAGGCGCGCTCCGAGCAGATGTGCCGGAGCCAGACAAATGACCCCTCCATCCACCCCCTGCTCTCCCTAAACCAACCCTGAGGCCAGGCAGGGGCAGGGTATTTTTAGGCTCCTTTCCCTCCCCTCCGCCTCCCTCTCAATAGCTGCCGAGCGCTGAATACGCGGAGAAGGGGGAGAGCGAGCGGGAGAAAAGTTAACTGTTTTGCGAAGAGGGGAGAAAATAGGCAGGGAGGGGGGAGGGAGCGAGGAGGAGCAGTGCAGGGTGAGCTGTGTCAGGGGATGAGTGTATGCGTATGTGTGCTCTCACGGGGTGCCCGCAGGCGGCGGATCGGATGCACTTTAGCCCTGTGCTCTGCTGCTCTCGGCTGGGGCAGCGCCGCCGAAGCCTGAGTCTCGCCTGACCCTTCGTTTCACTGCGGCCAGGAGGAGCCCGAAGCCCGCCGCCGCCTCTCACTGTTCTGCAGGGACCTCGCCTGCCACGGTCTGCCTCCCCGCCGACCCCTCCCCCGCCGCCGCCGCCGCCGGCGGCCCCGGCCCCCTAACGGGGTGGCCGTGGGGTCGGTATGGGGTGCCCCCCCCGCCGGCAGCCCCCTCCACGGCCGCTGCCCACCTTCCCCCCTCTCCCGGGCCGCCCAGCCCCGCCGCAACCTTTAGCCGGGGACGGACCTCTCGGCTGGTTCCGCACAAGACGCCAGCAGCCGCTTCCCCTCTCGCCGCCCTCTCCTCCGGTGCTAGCCCCCCTCCCCACCCCAATAAAACAGATCACCCCCTCCCTCCAGCCCCAAAGAGAAACCCACACCGCCCCCCCTTTCGCCCCCCCCCCAGCAAATGCACAATCACGGGCAAGGGGAGGGAGAGGGAGGAAAGGGCGAGAGACGCGAAGAAAGAAGGGGGGAAAGGAGAGAGAGAGGAAAAATTAAAAGGGCACAAGGCTGTTCATCACCAACATGGCTGCCTTAGCTCAGACCTAAAAGAGGAATAACCCAGGCTGTGTCTTTGTCAGTTTCACCTCTGTAACCCTAAACTAATGCACGAAACGGCGGAGGCGGCTGCAGAGGGGAAGGAGACGGGGAGAGAAGGAAAGAGAAAATGGCAAAAAGAGGGGGCACTTACGTGAAGAGAGGCGCTTGGGCTGCTCCTGCTTCCTCCTGGGCATTTTCCCCCTTTTTTCACATTCTCCTCCTTGGTTTAACGGGAGATCAAATAAGACCGGGAAGGGGGGGCACAGACAGGCACAAAGCCGGGGCCCCCGGGGGAGCTGCTAACCGGGGCGGGTTTTCCCTCTTCGCCGGGGGAACGGGGTCTGAAGCCGGTTTTCCCGGAGCCACCGCGAAGGGCTCCCTCTCCCCCTCTCTTTTTTTTTCCCCCCCTCCTTTCCCCCCCCCCCACCCCCCCCACCCGGTCGTGCACCTGGCTTGTCCCCGGTCGCAGTATCCCTCAGCGGCCGGGGATGTGTTCCCGGCGGGCGAGCGGGCGCCGTGCCGGGGCGAGAGCTGGCGCGGCGGTGCCGAGGGCTGCGCCCCGCGCGCCTCCCGGCCCCTAACTAACACTAACGCCGGGATCAAAGGGCAGCGGCGGCGCTCACGGCTCGCTCGCGGGCGGCTGGAGGCAGGCAGGGACACATGGACACAGACACACACACACACACACACACCCCGGCGGGCGGGCGGGCGGGCACGCACAGACACAGGCACACGCAGAGCAAAGGGGAAGGTGCCCCCGCTCCGGCGCAGCGCTGCGCGGCGGCGGGGTCCAGGCGGAGGATGCGCTGCCCCGGTCCTGCACCGCTCCGATTCGCTCTTCTACAAACATAAAGGTGTTGTGTATGGGAAATAGGGAGGAGGATATCTGTGGGTCTTCGCACTGCGATTCCCTCATTTCTGGTGGGAAAGAAAATAGTAACACCAACCCTTTAAAAAAAAAATAAAATTAAGACATTTTCTCTCCGTGTGTTAGAAAAGAAAAATCGTACCAATGCAAAGCTACCGCGGAATTTCTTGGATGTGTTCAGCTATTCCTTCACAAAGCACAGGAGCCAGACGGGCTTACTGCAACCCAACTTCAGAATGGGGGAGAGAAGGTGATTACACACAACTCCCTCCGTGCCAAATTAAGCGTACAAAGTAAGCAAGCAAGGAAGATGGGCAAGTGAGCATGTTGGGTACCCTGTTCCAGAACCAGGTGCTGCCAATATCTAGTACAGGTTTTAAAAAGTGGAAAGAATGAGAGCAGCATGGAAATCACAACTCCTTGAGAAGTCTGAGTGTGGGGAGAGGAGGAAATCAAGATTAAGTCACCCCTAATGGTTAATTTAACTGCTACAGGATACTTCCACAATGCACACAGCAATCTGGACTTTTGAAATTTACTTTTTGTTTCCCCCCTTTGCCATAATGCAGATATATGAAGCTTTATCCTGAAGCAATTCAAGCAAGCATTATGAAGCCAGTATAGCAGTTTTCAATAACTGATACATACTTTGATTACTTCACAAATCACACATCTTTCTTCAAAGACATACATGAAGGTCGGTGGAAAAAAATAGAAGAGGGATTGGGTCTCACTAAAGCACAAAAGGTACTTCATGAAAGAGAAGTGCTCTCTTTGTGACTTGCAGTCATTTGGATAAAAGTTCACATAGAGGTTGTTAATGATTTAAACTCTAAAATCTGTTACTACAATTGAAGTAAAATGGTTTGAAGCATGGTTGTTTCACAGAGCTCTCTCTTTGTGCAAGGAAACTTTGAGCCTAGAAGAACGCATAGTCAAAATCATGAGTCAGATGTTGCAACAATACAAAAAATGCACGTATAGCTGTTAGATGATTTTTTTGTTGGCTTTTGACAGCCTGAGTCACTATTTTTATCATATCAGTTTTTCATCCTAACTTCAAAATACTTTTTAAAAATAAACAGCTGTCTATGAGAACAAACCAGCAGATTTGCAACCTAAATCTTTTTGATAATCAACTTGCACCCTTAATCACCTCGAGTTAGAATGGTTTCAAATAATATTATACCCATTTTGCAGCCAAAATTATCTTTTCTACAGGGGAAAAAAAAATTAAAACGTTATAATATATATGTGAATCTCAGGTTCACTCTCCTGCATGTGCAGTTCTGAGGATCAGAACCACTGAAAACTCTGAGCCAATCCAGACTCCTCCTGACTTCAGCTGGTTTATCATCTGACAGTGCAGCTAAAATACTTAATTTTCATTGATTTACTCATTTTTAATCCAGAAATAAAGCACAAAACGTATAACCTTACACTTACTCATGATCATGAGTACCAGAGTCAGAATTCCCTTAGAATGTTTAAGTCCTGGCTTGTCATTCAGTTCTCCAGATTACTCTGGGTTGGAGATTCGGATAGCATTAGCAATGGTAACCCAAAAATATCAGAGGCATTCTCTGCTATTCCTCACAAAACTCGATTTTGACACACCTGGGACTAGCAGCAGAACTCTACTCATGCAGTACATGAACCCTTCATAATTATTTTTTAAATATACCCTAATGTCAGTTTTGAACTAAGCCAGCTTCATGTGCAGTGACTTTCTGTCCATCTGAATGACCCCATCTGTGCAGGAGGCCGCAAAACAGCCATTTCAGTCAGGGAGAGCACTTGCTCTGTGCTATGATCCCATGCTGCTATGGCAGCCCTTCTTCAGGTGCTCTAGGAGAATGGGATATAGGAAACATTGCATTCTGCATCATCACTCTTTCTACCTTCTAATCCTCATGCATGGCATGGCATAAATTAATATTGACATTGTCAGCATTAATTTACAATATGTTGGGGGGGGCTCGTTCCCCACATCATTTGAAACCCCCTTTAGGGTAGTTGAGATGGCTGCAAAGACTCTGCATGCTCTTTCAAAGGGCCATGGGGACTGCAAGTATAGAGCAGCACTAAATCTCTCTGAGGGTGACCTTCACTTCAACAGACATCCCAACAGTTAGCCTAAGAGTTTAGTGGGCCAAGCTTTAAGCCCATTCTGCAGGGAAAGAAATCCCAGTAGTTGAATGAATTATCAGGGAGAAACTTTATATATACTGTAGCTTTGAAGAGCCTGGAAATACTTCATATGGGAACAACATGGGTCTTCATATCTATCCTGACTAATTGTGTGCTCCACACATTGTCTTAGTCAATGCATCATACAGCCATCACACTGAAGTCAAAGCCACGTCTAAAGTCTTAACTTTACGTTCTTTTACCCATTGGTTTAAGGAAGATGACTAACAATGTGGCGCCATTTAAAGAATAATCTTCCATTACATGTTTGGTGGTATAGTACGAAAATGAATGAAGTCAGCTGACCACACTTTTGAACATTTCTAGTCCAAACACAAGAAAATAGTTGCAAGTCTTCCACAGATAACATAATATAAATAATGCATTGCTTCTGCAAGTCCTGCTATTAATAAGTAATGATTGTATGGCACCTTCCAAACACCAAACCTAGTTACACATATGAATTAAGTTCAGCCTCAGAAACCACTTTTGAACAAAGTAAATGTTTTCTTCACTTACACATGAGAAAAATGAAACAAACTGAGTAAATAAGATTTTACACAGTAATAAATGATGGAACAATCTTAAAACCTTTGCAGGGCGTCTAGCATCTGAACTATCCTTATGTAGTGTAGCAAATACTTGAATCAGGTGCTAAACAGAGATTTAAAAATCAGCTGACATCCTTCTTTTATTCTTTTAAACTTTAAAGAGCTCTGTTCCCAGACTCAATCTAAGTTTTTTTAATGAACTGAGTGGAAAAACAGGACCATTTACCCAGTTTTTGGGCCCCAAACCACACTATGGTATTAGTCCACCCCTCTGCTTAATATACAGCCTACCAAAATGATGGTCAGGACAGCTGTGTGTCCCTGAGCATGCAGAGCAGAGCTACCCAGGCTCCATGGGCTCTCATTAGTAGCAGTCCTATCTTTAGATTAACCTCCTATTGAACATAGAAAATCTTTTCCTATAACCTCTCTGGAATATCTAATATGAAGCACACTGGTTTCATCAAAATTGCCCTCTCTGCATACCTCTTGGAGACACATCCTCAATGGCCTAAACTCCTCCTCTTTTCTATTTTAATTAATGTCAATATTTCTATGCTCAGCAGTAACTATGAATCAATCCCGCAAACAAGATTTAATTACAACCTTCTCTTTGCTCTAAAGCATTTAAGAGGCATACAAACACAAGGGGATGAACAAATCCATAGGATAACAGCTCATAGACACCATCACCCATGTTTGCAAATGCTCTGTAAACAAGTAACATTAAGTGACAGATTTGCAATAATAATAAATAATGACAAGTTAGTGACTGGTGAGGCCACCAACCAGTTTCACAAAGGCCAATAAGCAACGAACAGAAGTCATTACTATCTGATGATTGTTACCTGGGGATGGATTACAAACAATTACAAAGCGGGAGGTGGAGTTGCATAACCAGTGGATCCTAAAGGACAGACAGGCTTCAGCTTTTATAAAAGACAACCAAGTTCTCTTTCCTCAGTTTTTAACCTCTTCTTAAAATGAAAGGAAAATTAAAGGACCACAGCCAGCAAACTATCACAGCAACCTAGGCAGGAACTCTTGCAACCCTTGAGAGCTCTGGCAGTGCTCTCCCAACTCTGCAGCTGCCTATGGCATGCCTGTAAACAGAGAGCATAGTGAACTGGGAATGCTTTATACCAAGATTTTTGTGAATTATACTAGTCTTGCAGCCTCAGAGTGGAGAGGCATCAAGAAGTACAATACATCCTGCTTCTCTTAGCTAAAGTGCAACTGTTTTCCCAGAAGCTTGTCTAAATCCTGGCAAACAAATTAGCCATCATCATTTTATAATTCCAACACAAGATGCTTCTAGTTGAAATGCAAATTTACCATGTTAATACTTGAACCATGGTGTTTGTTTTTTTCAGCTGTTAGTATAGCATACTACCTTAGAAAGGCGATAGAGCTCCTAATTTCAATTAAAAGAAAAATAATCAATACTTAAAGCTGTTAGTCTTAAACCCATGCTGATACATAATCCTAGGTTTTGCAGGCCAGAAATACGTTGTGTATAGGACTCGGGAGGGATTAGTGTCCACATTGTCTTCCTGCTACTCAAATATGGTGGGATGTTTATTCAGATTTACTGAGGATGTCTCATGATTCTTATCTTGCCATAAGTGCAGATGGCTTTTCAATTCTGTAACTCACTATACATCTCTTTTCTATACGCACATTTTGCCCAAAAAACTCACTTGAGCCTATGACTATTAGACTTAAGTCTACAGATACTTGAAATGCAGAATTTCTTGCCCAAATCTGAGCCAGCAATATTTTACCCAGTACAGATTAAGTATAGAAAAAAAACCATTAATATTTTAAAACATAAAATACTAAGCAAGTTTTGAACTGATGAGAGGAATTTGTTTAGTCAACTGGGGACTGGAACACTTAGCTCAGGGCTATTACAGTTACAGATGTGGAAATAAAAAGGGATAAATATCTGCTCTAATCCTGATCTTTTTTTGCACCATTTTCCATTCTTCATTTAAATGCACTGAAATCAGTATCTTTACCCCATCCTAAGAATTGCTAAAGTTAAACCAGAGAACTCACTCTGTCATTTTACTTCCATTTAATATTTTGTGAGTCCCTGGCTAATTGAAGGTTTAGGCACGTGCTCATTATCAAATACCTGCCATGGTTCAAGATGTTACCATTCCCCTGGAGAAGTTAACTGCTTCCACCCCCGAACTGGCAAAACAGAATGCATTTGGCCTCCTCATCTGCTTCAGTGAGAAGTCTTGTAGCTTACTTAAGTAGCAAGGCAATAGCATTTTAAGCCACAGCTGCTTGCTAAATGA